AAAAAATCAAAACAAAAGAGGAGAGAGACAGACGGAAGTGCACACACCAGATAGTCAGCGTCTAATTATCATCATTACACTCTCGGAGACAGTCCACCACTCCCACCTGTTCTCTCATCCAAACGCAAGATAGTGTTAAAATCACCTCCGATTATTAACGGTCCATCTATCCCTTGAATGAACGTGCTTAATTGACCCCAGAGACCACTTCTACGGCTCACCGTAGGGGCTGCGTATACAACAATAAGATGTATCTTCTCCGACTCTGTTTCTACCGTGGCATAGATAAACTGGTCCGATGTCTCCACAATAGTTACAGTCCCAACACCCGATCGCCATAGTAACCATAAGCCACCACTCTGTCCCACTGCATCCACTCTACACGAGTTATCAAATCCCAATCCTTAGCAGATTCGACTCGCCCTAGCCCCACCAGCATGCGTTTCAAAAACTGCCAAAACATCTGTGTGAAATTTATTCAAGAGATATCGAATTGATCTTCGAAAATTGGGTTTGTTCGCCCCCCGGCAATTCCATAATAGACAATTCATCGTTAATCTATAGAGCAAAAGTAGAACCACCGGGGAGGACTGTTATACAACACTCCCGCCAGCTCCCCTCTCCGTCGAGCCACTATGTACGACCAAAGCATTGTTGGAAGACGTATTCTCTTCATCCAATTTTGGCAAATCACTATCCATCGCTTCACTTAGATGGACATTAGGCTCATTCTCCACCATATTCGTTACACACTCACCCCCCAAGAAGCTTTCTCGTCGACCCTCAGAACCACTCCCCACGCGAAGCCTCTTTCCCGATTCTGTAATAATCACTTCCTCTCTGGTTTGGCCAAAAACAAGGCCACGAGTGGGCCTATTAATTCTATTATGCTTCCCTTTCGGTCCAACAGTCTCCATATTTCTCATGGGCCTCGCTACTCCGGCCCGTTTACCCTGGCTATTTGTCCTCGGCCCACTCTGTGTCTTCCCTCCAACCCCGACTTCAACTACTTCCTTAACTGGAGCCACACCCTTTCCTTTACCACCCTGGATCATAGCTAAATCATTCTCCTTATTTCCTGCACCCGAAATAACTGCTTTCCTTAATCCAATTGATATCGTATCTTCCTCCAAACTACCATATCTGTTTGAAATCATAATATTCCCCGAGATCTCCTTGAGATTCCTTCCCATATCTGCGTTCGAGCTCCCTACCGCAAACACCACCCTATTATATATGATTGATAATGGAGAATTACTGAAATACTTTTTTTTTTTTGTAAAAATATTAGTAAAGATGGGTTTAAAAAATTAAACCACAGAAAGCACCATTATGGTTTAATCAACTCTTCTTGAATTTTGTTTATTCGTAATAATGGGCCAATGAAAGCCTAAAGCCCATATATGTATTGATTCTATTCATAAAGCCCAACAACGAAAAACGCTCTTAAAACAAACGGCGTTTAAAGAAACCGCGTCAAAAAACGCACTTTTGGATTCTCCCAAATAATCCCTATCCCAAATCTTCGTCTCTTCTTTATCTTCCCCAGCGCGAGCGAAACCCTAACTTCTCTGCAGATTTTGCACAATCTCAGAGGATTTCTTCAGGTAATTCATTCATATCCTATAACGTATTTGAATTCTTCGGCTCGATATTGATTCTTCATAGAGGTCAATTTTTGTTTGATTTTTTGACGAATTTTGTTGAGATCTGAAGAGTTTGTTATTCAAAGCTCCAAGATTCGTTTGAGAAATGTCATCTGTTTCAAGCCAGCCACAGTTTCGTTACACGCAACCTCCTTCAAAGGTTCTTCATTTGAGAAACTTGCCATGGGAATGCACTGAAGAAGAGTTAATTGAACTGGGAAAGCCTTTTGGTACAGTTGTTAATACAAAGTGCAATGTTGGAGCTAATCGAAATCAAGCTTTCATTGAGTTCGTAAGTTCGAAGAGATTATGCTAAAGTTACAACAAGTTTTGATTTTTATTGTTATCATTGTTGATTTTTGTTTTGTTTCTTCTTTTTCAGGAAGATTTAAATCAAGCTATACAAATGATTTCTTACTATGCTTCTTCGTCGGAGCCTGCTCAAGTTCGAGGTAAAACTGTCTACCTCCAGTACTCCAATAGGCAAGAGATAGTGAATAACAAGACCACAGCGGATGTTGTGGGGAATGTTCTTCTGGTGACTGTCGAAGGCGAGGATGCTCGTATGGTCAGCATTGATGTCTTGCATCTGGTAAGTGGATCACATACCCAATTGGTTTCGTTAGATGATGTAAACATATTGCTGAAAGATGTTTCGAAGATGTTCTGATCATTAGGCTTTAGGCTGTCGTGCTTTTGAAAACTTTCTTTTGACTTGAATGTAAATGGATCAGCAGGGCCATGTCAAGGCAATATCTTCAGTGGCAGCCTAATGCATTAGGAGAAAGAGCACATGTGTGTTTGTTTCCTTTCTCCTTTCCCTGACACTGCCTCTCTTTTCCCTACTCTCACCCTAACACTTCCCTTTTCTTAGATATATTCTAGGTTTTGTAAGATATGGTCTTACATAGGTGTAGTTAGTGTTTTTGTTTGATATGATAGGGTGCAGCTCTATCTTACATAGGTGTAGTTAGTATTTTTGTTTGATATTATAGGATGCTGCTCACATCTTTTGTGATATAGGACTGTATCATAGTTTATGTGACTGTGATGAATCTATCTAGAGGGTCATCAATCTGCTAACATTTTGAGACGTACTTTGTGCCTAATATGATTGTTTGATGTCTTGAAGACATATCTTATGCCTTCCAGAGAGTGTAACCTGAAATCAAGCTTGTCACGTCATATTATGTTGGTTTAAGTTGCTATCATAACTTCTGTGATGCTGTATGAATTTTATACGTAGAGAGTTGACTCAAACTAAAGTTTTCTTGGAATGTTGCTGAAGTGCAAAATAATTACAGATGCTACACTGGAGTCTTTATAGTTGACTCTAGATTTTTTGTTGTTGTTGTTGTTCTAATTACTGGTTTGCAATGCAGGTATTCTCGGCATTTGGGTTTGTCCACAAGATTACTACTTTCGAGAAGACAGCCGGATACCAGGTATAATAATACCAAGCCATAAATTTTCTTTGTATTTTGATGGTAATATTTATTCTGCTTAAAAATGTTTATTTTCTGAATTTCTCTCAGGCACTGGTTCAATTTTCTGATGAGGAAACTGCAACCTCTGCAAAAAATGCCCTCGATGGAAGAAGCATCCCTAGGTGACAGTTGTATTAATTTTTTGACACGGTATTTAGTCTAACTGTGAAGGGTGCATAGTTCTAGATATTGTTTGGAGGGTCTGACATTTGGCAGCGTTTCAAGCGTCTGTAGGAGTTTTAGCACTATGGCTAGTTCCCAAGTGATGTATGGCGAATATCATTGATAGATGTAGGAAAACTAAATTTGTAACTAGTCTTTTCATGTACGAACCTGGGAAAATACTGTAGCATTGGTAGATACCTGGATTGAGGATAGTTTTTCCATCTAGGATTCTTGGAAACATCGTGTGTTTATTTAATAACAAACCATAGAGGCTTTGCGTTATAAGATTTTCTATATGTTTGTTATGTGTGAGGCATACTTGTTTACTGACTTATCTTTCTGTGCATTAGGTATCTACTCGCTGAGCAAGTGGGACAATGCTCACTTAAAATCACATATTCAGCTCATACAGATCTGACTGTCAAATTTCAGAGTCATCGGAGCAGGTATGTCTATTCACATTGTGTTTTGAAACATGTTTTGGTTTACTTGGTGATTGCCGCTTCTGGGACCAATATTACTGAATTGTTTCTTCTTTATTTTGAAGGGACTATACTAATCCTTACCTTCCCATTGCTCCATCAGCCATTGACAGTACTGGTCAGGTGAGCAATTTGAGAACAGTCTGTTACTGGAAAATGCATTTATGACTGTAAATCTCCTTTCTACTTGGTTGAAACTCTTACTGGTGATGTGTATACAAAGAGATGCATGAAAAAGTGCAGACATCATTTATTGTTCTAATTACTAAAGTGAAAGATTAATGTGTCATTCTTACTAGGTGGCTGTGGGTGTAGACGGGAAGAAGATGGAGCCTGAAAGTAATGTTCTTCTCGCATCCATTGAAAACATGCAGTATGCAGTAACCTTGGATGTTCTACACATGGTAATACTTGTTCTATTCTGAAACCTCATTGAAACGTTGGTTCTGGAAATATTGATTCTCTTCTCTTTTTTTTTATTAACGAGTAGGTTTTTGCGGCTTTTGGGGATGTTCAAAAAATTGCAATGTTTGACAAGAATGGTGGGCTACAGGCACTGATCCAATACAAAGGTAACATCGTGTATGATATGGTCTGCTTCAATTGTCATTGAGCTCATAAAGAGCAAATTCTCAAATGACTTTGACGGGTTTCTTTCAGATGTTCAAACGGCTGTTGTGGCGAAGGAAGCATTGGAAGGACATTGTATCTATGATGGTGGTTTTTGTAAGCTCCACATTACTTATTCACGCCACACTGACCTCAGCATAAAGGTGAACAACGATAGAAGCAGAGACTACACAATGCCCAACCCACCGGTTCCAATGCCTCAACAACCCAGTCAGAATCCATACACTGGCAATCCTCAGCAATACCACGCAGCAGGTGGGAGCCACCAGCAGCAGCCACAAGGTGGATGGGTCCAACCAGGAGGGCAAGGCTCAATGGGAATGGGTGGTGGTGGTTACAATCCTTACATGGCACCACCATCTTCAAGCTCAATGCATCATGGTCCGGGTGGTCATATGCCTCCACATCATTATGGTGGTCCTGGTCCAATGCATTAGAGAGAGAGAGAAAGAAAGTCCCTAAAAGTCGAAGACAAAAAGATGTTTAATCTCTCTCTTTATTTCTCGTAGCTCTGTTTTTTTTTTTTGGAACACTAGTACGTGTGTCCAAATGATGATTTTTAACTATTAAACCATTCGAGAAATGTATTAGAAAGAACTTAATTTCTCTATGTCTCTCTCTCGGCACTCACCATATCATTTTCATTATCAAACTCTGTCTAATCGTCTATAAGTGACAGATTATTATTGGCCAAATTTTGCGAAACATTGGTTAGAAACTTAGAATTATTTGGATAAGATAACTTAAGTGAAAAAAAAAACAGGAAGAGAAAGATAAAGAGAGGAGCTTGTGGCTCCCAAGTCTCCAAGTAAAGTCTTCTCTTTTGCTCTGAATAAAAAGAGTAAGAGAAGAAGGAAGGAAGAAGATAAAGGATTCAAAAACCCTAAACACTCCAATGTCTTCTTCTACTCTTCAAGCTTCTCTTTTTCTTCGTCTTCCTCTCCATACTTGTTCCTTTAAGCCTTATCCTTGTCTCTTCTCTTCTTCTTTGAGTTATCATCCTCAATCTCTTTCCAGTTTCTACCGTTTTTCTTCAGTTCTTCACAACTCTCGATTTCGTCCCCTTCCTTGCTCATTGCGCCAAGACAATGTCGCTTCCGATTCCGATTTCCTTCCCAAAGACTCCGCTTTTGTTACCGATGGTGAGATTAGGGATTCAGCTGAGAGTAATAGATTGGTTACGGATACGGAGGTTTCGGAATTAGAGACGAATGATAGATTTGTGGGTGGTGAAGGGACGAGTGAAGCGGAGGTTAGTAATGGAGTGACGGAAGGCAAGGAGCAAGATCAGAAGAAGAGCAAGTTTCGAATTGTGGTGTTGATGATGGCACTATGGACGGCGATAAAGAGAGCTATCGAGAAAGTCATGGAGTGGGAATGGTTAAGCTGGTGGCCTTTCTCTCGCCAGGAGAAGCGGCTCGAGAAACTTATTGCTGAGGCTGATGCTAATCCAAAGGACGCAGCTTTGCAGGGTGCTTTATTGGCTGAGCTCAATAAACACATGTATGTAACTTCATCATCATGCTCTGATTGATTGGTATCGTAGGTGTAGTTGAATTCAGTTTGTTCTTAGTTGACTCTATGTGGTAGCTAATGTTTTCTTTGATTCAGTCCTGAGGCTGTTGTTCAACGGTTTGAACAAAGGGAACACGCAGTGGATAGTAGAGGAGTTGCTGAATATATTCGAGCTCTTGTCATTACTAATGCTATTTCGGAGTATCTTCCTGATGAACAAACGGGGAAGCCATCTAGTCTTCCTGCACTGGTATTGTTACCATCACTACTTCTAGAATCTGTGGTTAGGTTATCTGTTTTTAGGTGGTCTACACTTCGGTCTCTGAATTTGATTAGCCTGCTGTCTCTTATTGTTTCCACTGTCTATATCCCTAAAAATGTTATCCAAAACTCCAATTGAGATGAATACTTCTGTTCACAGGCCTCTACTTAGAATGTTCTAAGTTGTCTTTGTTTCTAAATTAGTGTTCTTGTATTTGTAGTAAATCATTGGTTTATGTGCAGTTGCAAGAGCTGAAGCATCGTGCATCAGGCAATATGGACGAATCATTTGTGAAACCTGGTATATCTGAGAAGCAACCATTGCATGTTACCATGGTAAGTATCTTATATTACCCATCTGGTGATGTATATTTTCATAGGTTCTTGATGGTTCCCTATATTGTAAGTTCTTAACGCATGTCTTTACTTTGTTAGGTTAATCCTAAAGTTTCAAACAAATCAAGATTTGCGCAAGAGCTTGTCTCTACGATCTTGTTCACAGTTGCGGTGGGATTAGTGTGGTATGTATCATCTATATTTTAGTTGAGATCTAGTTTATGATGATAGATTAATTTGGATAGCACATGCAGAAATGTTGCTTCTTGTGCATAGTTGAACTTGTGATTACTTCTCCATTTTAGTACTGTTGTTCCTGTTAAAATGGAAGTTCCTTGTTTAGGTTAATGGGTGCAGCTGCTCTGCAAAAGTATATTGGAAGTCTTGGAGGAATTGGAACTTCGGGTGTTGGTTCAAGCTCTTCATATTCCCCAAAAGAACTGAACAAAGAAATAACGCCAGAAAAGGTAGACTTTTGACTCAAGTTGAAGAAATGATGTTCGTCACTGTTTATAAGGAGTCTAAAGTAGAAGTAGAACTGCAAGGATATTTATTGCTTTAGTAACAATGGTCAAACTATAGTAAGACAAAGATACTGCAAATTAGTTGCATGATAGTATCCTTATTACCTGAGACATTGGATCGTCTCTGTGTTAATGCTAATTTACTCAGTGAACAATTTAATAGTTATGTTCGTGTAGCTTTTGAAGCTAATGAATTTATAAGAGTGGCTCCGTTGTGTGTTTTCCTAACAAAGTTTACTTGCCATAGAATGTCAAAACATTCAAGGACGTAAAGGGTTGTGATGATGCAAAACAAGAGCTTGAGGAGGTAGTTGAATATCTTAAAAATCCATCAAAGTTTACCCGCCTTGGAGGAAAGTTGCCAAAGGTATAGTCTCTCTTTGTATATGGTTATTATATCTTCTCGATTGCATGTTACTTTGCATTTGATTTTCTCCTGTCTACTCGAGGACATAATCTGTTTAAAGTTAGCATTTTTGACCTGAGACATTTCTGAAATGTTTGCTTTCAGGGAATTCTTCTAACCGGGGCACCTGGTACTGGAAAGACATTGCTGGCCAAAGTAAGTTCACATAGTGTTATTATGTGTGTAGTTTTCACAGTCACATCCCACTTAATCATAAATTCTTAGTAGGGTACCGTTATTCTGATTGATTTTGCAATAAGTTGACATGGTTTAAATTTTGAAGGCAATTGCTGGAGAAGCTGGAGTACCCTTCTTCTATAGAGCTGGATCTGAATTTGAAGAGATGTGAGCCTTCTTCTAGCTGTCTTTCTCTGGCATATGCCTTACGGAACATTATCATTAACTGTTTAGTATTTATTACAATCAGGTGGCTTCTTCAACAATGGATAATGTCTTCTAATATCATGTTTTTTTTTCCTTCCATTGACAGGTTTGTTGGAGTAGGTGCTCGCCGTGTGAGATCCTTGTTTCAGGCAGCGAAGAAAAAGGTCTGACTCAACTTGTCACTGCTTATAAGCTATTTTCAAAGAGTTTTGTTGGTTCGGCTACCATGAATGAAGTTCCATTTGCTGACGATCTTGTGTTACAGGCACCTTGTATCATTTTCATTGACGAAATTGATGCTGTTGGATCCACAAGAAAACAATGGGAAGGGCATACAAAGAAGACACTGCATCAACTACTTGTTGAAATGGATGGTTTTGAGCAGAATGAGGTACTTATTGATGAGGGATAGTGTATCTTGTGATTACTTCTGCTAGTTTGCAGGAATATAATAGTACTTTGCTCCTTTTCTATTTTGGTAATGCAGGGAATAATAGTTATGGCTGCAACAAACTTGCCTGATATACTTGATCCAGCCCTGACAAGACCGGGTAGATTTGATAGACATGTAAGTTTTCAGTTTCTTGTGATTCTTCTGAGATGTATTAGTATTGAAGATAAGAGTTACTGGAATATGAAGAACTGATACCTTTTTCTTGTCTTGAGAAACCCTCTGTTTTGGATATAACTGTTTGACGATTTGTTTTTGACTTTGCGCATCTGGTGTTCAATTTGTTTTCATTTGTATCGTTTTAAACAGAATTTAGATAGGTCCGTTGCCATGTTAAGAACAATTTTTCAGATTTTATCAAAAGGAAAATAAATTACTGACAGATTTGATTTTAGATTGTCGTACCCAGTCCGGATGTCCGTGGACGCCAAGAGATTTTGGAACTCTACCTCCAAGGCAAACCTATGTCAGAAGATGTAGATGTTAAAGCAATTGCTCGTGGAACTCCTGGATTCAATGGTGCTGGTGAGTGTCTTAAATCTATAACTACAGTTTAGTCATCCTTAAATTCAGAAGTGTCTTCTTTTGTCACTAACCTATGAAGATTCAATGATTCACCAGATTTTTCCCAATCTCACCAAAACTTTTTCCAGATCTTGCAAACCTGGTAAATATTGCTGCCATAAAAGCAGCTGTTGAAGGGGCTGAGAAGCTATCTTCTGAGCAATTGGAATTCGCAAAGGACCGAATAGTCATGGGCACAGAGAGGAAGACAATGTTCGTATCAGAGGACTCAAAAAAGGTATAATCCAATATCTGACACAACATAGAAGCGTTTGGATGTGGAGTTCAAACATGATATGACCTCTCACTTACTTCTTTGCCTCTTTAGCTCACTGCATACCATGAGAGTGGTCATGCTATTGTCGCTTTGAACACGAGAGGTGCGCACCCGATCCACAAAGCGACTATAATGCCACGTGGATCTGCATTGGGAATGGTTACACAGTTACCTTCAAACGATGAAACATCAGTGAGCAAGAGGCAGTTATTAGCTCGTCTTGATGTATGTATGGGGGGAAGAGTTGCAGAGGAGCTCATCTTTGGCTTGGACCATATCACCACTGGAGCGAGTAGTGATCTGTCCCAGGCCACTGAACTTGCACAATACATGGTAACCTCCATATTACTCTAATCGTAGGAGATACATGCGCTTAATTACTTTTTTTTTTCCTGGTTTATCAAAAGAGTTGGCCTTTGGTTCTTTTCATTTTCCGGAATTAGGTTTCAGGGACTTAGTTAGTCTCTGAGATCCTTAGAGTGAACGCGAGAAGATGGATTTTACCTCTTGTGGTAGATGTAGTAATGCTTTTTTTTATTGGAAGGTATCGAGTTGTGGGATGAGTGAGGCAATAGGACCAGTTCATATCAAAGAAAGACCAAGCTCTGATATGCAATCACGCATTGATGCAGAGGTAAATACTCTCTCTATTCATTTTTTGTAGTTCCTCGTTCAATCCCATTGCTCCTAAGTCTAATCATTCATCTGGTGGTGTTGATACTTTTGTCCAGGTTGTGAAGCTTCTTCGAGAGGCATATGAGCGAGTGAAGTCTCTCTTGAAACGGGTTTGTTTGTGCCCAAGTTCCTGATAGTCGCATATTTTACTCAGTCAAAACTTCTTAATCTCACTTGTGTTTTTTTTTTTGTGTGTGATTCCCCAGCATGAGAAGCAGCTACATACATTAGCAAACGCACTTCTAGAGTATGAAACTCTAACCGCAGAGGACATAAAGCGTATTCTCCTTCCAAAGCAAGAAGGTGAGAAGTTTGAAGAGCAACAACAAGAAGAAGGAGACTTGGTATTGGCCTAGTCACATCATTCATTACCATAAACACACCTCTTTGGGTGAAAAAGGGAGGTTCAAAGCTTTGTACAGAGTAAATCTCCCATAGCTTCTACAACAACAACCAAAAGAAAAAACATGTGAAATTATTGATCTCATGTTACAAATTATTGTAGTTTTTATTTCATTAGCTCATTAGTTTTCACTTCAACCTGGAACCTTTTTCCCTTTTTGACATTCTGTTCAGTTCTATGAAGAAAAATGTAAAACAACATTGAAAAGAATGTAATTGTGGTCTTTAATCTCTGATGTGATTTTGAAGGCCAATGAATCTTATTGCAGCTTACTAAGTCCTCTGATGAAATGACATGTTTTTTTTGGAACAAATTGAAAGAAATCATATAGAAGCATTTCTAATGGAACCACCTGTCCATGTGACCGATTCGAATATTTATCCACTATTGTAATGTGGAAGCCTCCTTGGCCCATTGGTTGACCAATGGTTGATTAATGCTTCTACACCAAGAGGTCTGGGGTTCGAGTCCCAGGTATTGCGATTTATTAACAAATTTCCAGATTAATAGAGGCAAGTGTGCAAGAGATCTCTAGTGATGTACAATTATAGCTGTTCGCCAAGATTCTACGCAGAGAAGGAAGTGTCGCCAGGTCATGGATCATTGAAGGTATTCATCAAGATTACGAAGAAGTAAGTGTAGTCTGTCGTGGATCTAGTAAGGGTCGGAAGGAATTGTCAGTTGTAGAATCGTCTATGTAACAGTTCTCATAATTTGTAATTAATAATAAATCTAAACGGAAAAAAAAAAAAAACACTGTACACCTTTTTACAGCTAATGGAGCTAAAGTGTTTCCTGAATCACAAGTCAAGACAAAATCTACAAACAACAACAAAGATCTCTTTCCTTAATAGTCCTTTGTGGAGATTTTTTCACATCCCACAAATCCTATTGGTCCGTTTTAAACAAGTAGAAAAATAAATATAGAAAAAGGACGGTGTGTGGCCTTTATGGGTGCAACGAAAAGTGTTAAAAAGGAAGAAGAGAGTGGAACCCCATGATCACACACACTTTTAACATGTCTCTGCAAATTGTAAAAGATTCCTGCAAGTGGCTAAAGCCAAACTCCAAAATCATATTTTGGTTCTATAGAGAAGAAACCAAAAACACATTCATTAAATTAGACACATAAAAAAAAAAAGAGAGGGTTGAAAGTGAAATGACCCCAAAAATAGCAAATGAGAAACTTATTATGTAACTGGTAAAATGATGACATTTTTTTTGCCTTGTCCATCCTCAAAGAGACTCACTCACGCTCTCTCTTTTTCCCTTTTGAGAGCTTCATCCATGGCAACCAAAATCTCTCTGATTCAATAGTTTCTTACTCCTTAGATCTTTAAACTCTGTTGATGGATTCTGTTGTGGTGTCTTGAACCGCAAGACGTTCAGAGATATCAGCTAAAGATTTAAGATTGCATTTGATTAAAGCTTCAACAAAGTAACAAGTCTCATCCTTTGTGTTTCCTTCTGGTACATCAACGACAAATGACTCAATCACAAGTGTCCCTATTCTTCCTTCTATAGTCTCAGGGTGAAGAGAAATGATTGAAGAATAGTTCTAAATCCAAAAAAGAGAGAAACAATATAAGTCTTTGATTCAATGAAACAGAAAACGACCCTTCTGAGTCAATGATGTGTTTGTTACCTTAAGTCTGTGATCACCACCAACGATTCTGATACTGAGAATATGCTCATTATCATCAAGTAACTCCAATCTCTCAGTGCTTCTAGTAGCTGGTAAACCTGATTTGACATCAACTTCTCTTACTGTACCAATCTCCATGTTTCCTTTCACCACACACCTACTGATAAATGGTTTATACTTCTGTGGCTGATCAAATCTTCTCACAAGTGACCACACCTATTCACCAGTAATTCAAACTAAATCCATTAGCGTTTTTTTTGGGACCTTTTTCTCAAGAAATCAAAACCAGATCAATACAAATGCTACGAAGCTTCTATAATTAGAAACCAATCGTCTTCCTCAGTAAGATCAATCATCAACAAGAATAGATGGAGATTTCAAATTTCTGGATTGAATCAACAATAAGAAGAACCGATTGACTAAATATAGATGCATAAACAGAGAAAAACAGAGCGCATGAAGAAGAAGAAGAAGAAGAAGAAGAAGAAGAAGCTTACAATATGAACAGGAGCGTTGATATGTTTAACAAGCGTAGAGCTACACTGATTCTCAACAAGCTCATGATTATGATGTCTCCTAATAAACTCTCTTTCCAGATTCGGATTCTGATTCGTCAAGTTCTCACTCCCGTTAGCTTCCATCTTCTTCTTCTTCTTCCTCCTTCTTAAGCCACGGTTTCAAATCTCAACACAGAACAATAACAGCGCCAAATTCGTCTCGCAGAGAGTGAAAAAAGCAACACAACAAAGAAAAAGGTGAGATAGAGCTTGGACTCGTAAGAGATCTGATTTCAGAGAAGGTTTTTCCGGCGAGATCTTCCGATGAAAGCGTTAATGTGAAGAAATGAAAGATTACAGTCGCCGTCTTTGGAGGGAGATAAGAAGAAGAGAGAAAGAGAGAGAGAGAGAGAGAGAGAGAGAAAGAGAGAGAGAGAGAAGAATCCTCCAACAAACTTTTTTTTTCTCTCTCTATTATAATATTTAAATTAAAAGACGCTCACAGATTTAAAAATAGTAAAATAAAATAAAAAAAGATTTGATTGGATGGTGGACTAAAGGAGTAAAGGTCTTTCTCTGATTTCACTACTCTCATTGGATGCTTTCTTATATTATCCCACTTTTTTCTCATTATTTTCGTTTTTGCCACTCGTTGTCGTTTTTCTCTGTTTTATTGACCATTATACCCCCACAAGTCTGGTAATTATTATTTGTTGATCCTTAAAGTATGTTTTAGCCTATGAGAGCTGAGTCAATTATTGGATAGTTTTTTTTTTTTGTGATTTATTCATTTGGATAAAAGATTGTTGTTTTGACAAAAAAAAAAGGGGATTAAAGACTGTTTAAAATACAATAAAGTTACATCATTTTATTTGGAAGTGCCAAGACTTTTTGTGCTGCTATAATTAAGTACTAGTATTTTGTTGTTATTATTATTATTATTTTTATATATCTTTGAAAAGTTATAGATTTTAAAGTCATTTTTTATTTAGTTTTTCCAAAAATCTATTTTATAACCAATTAATTAAGACCTTGAATGGTTGTAGATTTTCAAGTTGTTTTTGGTTTTAGTTTTTCAAAAAATCTACTCCCTCTGTTCCTAGAAGATTGTTTTTTTAGAAATTTCACATTTATTTAATTTTATTAAATATTTTTTAATAAACTGTGAACCAATAGTAATCTGAAACCGTTAATCATTACGTATTGAAATCTACGATTTATTAAAATCAATTCATTAAAAATAAAAAAAAAATCTAGAAAATCAATCTTTGTGGAACAAACTCAAAACAATAGAACATCAAACTTCAAGGAACAGAGGGAGTACTTTATAGCCAACTAAATTTATGAAAAAACAGTTTTTCTAAAAATTAGGGAATCTAGATTTTGATATTTTTGTCAATTTTCAAAGAAAATCTAAAATATATGTTTCATTGATTTTTCACTTTTTAACGTGGTGAATTTCTCATATTTAATTTTTAAAAATATTTCTAATACAAAATCTAAAAACCATAAACCAAAGTCCAAAAACCACTTAAAAACTTGCATGAATATTGGTGTACTGTACATGTTTATGTATGTGTGTGTATATAGTAGAATTAATACGATCATATTAGCATAACATATATTTTCGTGTACTTGCACTATGATTCAGACTCATAGAACAATTCAAAATGTCGAAATTAAAACATATATACTAATATAAATTGATGAAATTACTACAAAAATTTCAGAGAGATTATAATAATGGTGTCAAGCCGACCAAGTTTGTGTGTGTATATCTAATACACAAAGATAACATTCAAAATATCGAACCTTTAATTTTGTAGGTACTATAAAACATGGTTCTTAACCAAAAAAATAAAATATGGGTATTCAAACTTTAAAGTTATTAAAAACAGGAGCAAAGAATACTAGATATTAATTGCTATATAAAGTAATATTTTTTTTAGTGTAGGTTTATTAATCAACCAAAAAAAAAATTAATGTTTACAAAGAGATTAGTGGAGAAATAGTAGAAAAGTCTAAAATAGATTTTAAGAGAAGCAGGTGGAGGTCGACATATTAGAGCTTGTGTCGAACATGTACGCTAGCGTATCGTCGTAGCGAGGGTTGTCCATGTAACGGATGGATATATGTTTGTTGTAGATAAACGTTTTAATGAAGAAGGTGAGAATTACCAAAAAGAAACAATGGGTTCAGAGAGAAACTATTGGAGATATTAAAAGAAAAGAAAAACATGGGGCTTAACCATATTATGCTCGTAAACCTATACTGAAGAAGAGATAGTTACACATTTTATACGGATGGTCATATAGGCTACAAGGTGGAGGTATATCGATGTCCCACTTAGCCATACAATTATACTAGCTAGTTAAAATTTTGTTTAACACGCCGAGCCAGACTATGAATGCAAATTTGGGGTTTGCACGTTTGAACTACAGAGGACCAATCCATTTTAGGATTAGAACGACAAATCTATAGTACTAAGTATAAACATATAAGAAAATCATAAGAAATTTTCCGAGCATATGACAAACATAGAAGACAATTATTATTCCAAGTGTTAAAAACAATTAAAATTTGATAGCATCGCAGTTATTATGGTTATCATTCAATTTTTATTCTAACCTTACGTTTTGTCAATTCCTTATCAATAATTTTTATTATGTTATGTTTGTTCTCTCCAATCTATTTTTCTGCATCATCGCCGATTCTAGTATCACTCCATTCGATTCATAATCATATATATGAAAGTTGACTAACTCTCTCTATATGAGTGTCATATCATCACATAAGAAAATAATATGTGTCATCTACATTATTTAAATAAAAAATTAGTAAAATTAATTGAGGAAAAATCAAAAGTCTTTTGTTGTGTTAAATTCTCCATTAATCTCAATTTTAATTGATGTCTTAAAAACTAAAAAAAATAAAGTAAAAAATCATACTAATGTATTAAACAATACTTTTCATTCTACTCTTCTAATTTTATTAAAAAAAATTATCAATGGTCATTATTTGATAATAATGGCTAAAAAATTACTTGTGTTGTAGTTTAGAAGTTTGATACCTAACCTCATATTAATTTAGTAGTTTTCATTTGAATATTTCTTATTGTTACGTTTTATGAATATGATTTATCATATGACATTCACTCTTTTTATTTTTGTGTGTTATGATAAGTTGGTAATATTGACATAGAAATTTTTTCACTTAATGGTCTTTTGAAACGTTAGATATACCAAGAAATATAAAACACGAGACTTTCGGTTATATGAAAGGGAAGAGATCTAAAGTGTTGACTTAAATTACTAGCATATCATGATGTGCTTGGCGTACTAGGTGACGAGAGAGTATATGAAACAAAGAATTGTTTTTTTATAATTTCGTTAGGCAAGTTTCAAACCCTCATGTAAGTAGCATAACTACATATACTATTGTATCAATATATCATTTATTGTTATTGTATGTATTCATGATCGTGAAAGATTAGGATTGTAGGTACATAAATAATCATATTTATGCTTGAAAAATGTAGAATTGATATTTCAAGTCAAAGATGAATCTAATCATAAAAATTATATAACTATAGAAAATAGATATGAATTTATTAATTACATAATAACACACATAAAAATTAACATAAAAAACAACAAAAACCATAATTATATTTTTTTCTGCAATTTTCAAAACAAAAACTCACGCGTAGCGTGGATGTAGCGTGAATATTCATCTAGTACGTAGTAAAGTTTCTAAACTATTTAATTGGATTTGCCTTTTTTTTTTGTTCACATTATGACAATAGTACGTATCTTGTTTTGATCATTTACAGTAGCTTATAACCCAACATCTTATGCCACCACTAAGGCCAGAATAGTAGTATATAGTTTGATCATTTAATATTACGATCTTTATCCAAAAAAATTAAAAAGAATTGTATACAGTATCTTTAGGGTTTGCTTCGCGGCCTTAACTTTTCCTGACTCCGAAGAGCCAATCTCGAGAGAGCAAATGGTCCCACGTGCTTTATCCAACACTCTTTATTAAATCCTGAATAAAAAAAATCTCAAAGTGACAAAGATTTCTTTAACATAAAAAGGTTTGGCTCTTATAAGTCATATCAAGAAAAAGAAAATTCGTTGCTAACTTTGTAACGTGCTTAAAGTATTCTCGAAAATACTACTACCTCAAGATTAATGTTCATAAATTAGATACCCATCATAGTTGTTTTTTAAGACTGGCTCCTTAAAAAACTGATTGGCTCCTTATAATTAATAGTTTAATTCGTACATGTCTTTCGAACTAGTTCTCTACTCAAAGTAATAGGCAGTTACATTATTAATTGGACAAGTAGCATTTTAAATGTTGTAATTTACAGCTATAACGTTTCTTGATAAACCACTAAATGACTAAACGTTTTCCAATTTTCATATTGGACTTCTTTCCTTTTTCCAATTTTTTTCTCATATTCTGACAATATTATTCGTGATGAAAGCAAGACGACCCATATTCTTCGGTAAAAGATATATAACGGTGAAAAATCCTTTATGTAATAAGAAAAGATTAGTCTAAAAAATCTATAACTCAGAATTTCTTTGAAATAGGTTGATGTAAACGTGTTACTAAGATTAATTTATCAATAGGATCAACTTCAAAAGTTGGTTGAGCCAAAATGAGAAGATGACGTCGACGATGCTTAATACAAACAAATATCGGATGATATTGATTCAAATGAGGGAAATGAACAGTGTTCCTACAAGTTAAACACGTGAAACTTTCTACAAACTTGTGAAAGTGAATGAATAGTTATGATAATATCCAAAATTTTGTAACCTTTTTTGTTATACTATCGGAATTGTGGAAACAACTTTTTATCACCAAAAATATTTCCTATTAACTTGAAAAAATGTCTGGAACGATATATTAAAAAAATAGAAAACTTTAGAAAGTTTTTAGAAACTTGTAAAACCTTTCATATATACAATTTTCTATATTTCCTATAATTTCAACAAGTTTAGAAGATATATTTTTTTATACATTTTCAAGTTTAATCAGAATTTTCAAGTCTATAAGATTTATTTCATTTTTTGGTTTCAACTTCATATGGAAGCTGATATGCAGCAATTTAACCAATGAGGTACGATCGGATTAGAAAAAAGATATCAATTAACCAAATTGTTTTATCAAAAATAAAATAAAAATAAAGTAAATTCATCTTCACTTTTTATCATTTCATTTTTAAAAAATACCAAAAGAAAAAGAAGGTAAAAGTATATTTTTATAATAGTTATGAGTTTTTTTCTTGTTAATCATGAATAAATCTGACATATAAAATAAAATAAATTGATTGTCGTTGACAATAAAAGTTAAACAAAAATAACGATTAACAGATTTTCGTTTCAGAAAATAACAGACAAAGTTGGGGTCCACAGTTTTGGATAAAACGCTTCAAAGTAACGTTTTCTAGAGATTGCGTATCATAAATTCACGTTTTATTTTCCTTCTTCTAATATTTTTTAAGTCTCCAATGGTTGAACCAACATTTTGATACAAAATTGAAATTTTGCAACTCCTTTTCTACATCTTTCTTTATTAAATGAGATGATTAACAACATAGTTCCAAAAAAAAATGAATGTACATGTACCAAACAATTCGACAATAGAAAAATAGTGTTTGTTGTTCTAGCTATAATTTCAAATATAATGAGATATTATCCTTTCAATTATCATAGACAATACTTGATTCATTAGCACTAACAAAACAACCAAAACACTTGTTTGACTTCTATCACTCAAGGGGCTTAATATCTTGAAATTGAGAACAAAGAAGTGAGTATCTCATAAATAGTAAGTCCATTGATTGGATGTAAAAGGACAATCACCTTTGTAATGTGGGAATGTATAGAATCAATTCATGTGTCGATATTAGTATAAATAGTATGACAACGACGATTATATATATAGTATTATCCAAATAAATCTTAAAGAAAACGAGAAGTGGACCTAAAAACAAAAGGTGTGGAAGAGATGAGAATAGAAAAAAAAAATTAAATAGATAATAAAGAGAGAAAGTGAGGATCATGTGTTGCATTGCATCTATCTTTTTTTTTTTTGACCATTCAGCTATATAAACGTGAACACCATTAATGGCTTATGAATCAAAATCTCACACTTCTCGAATGTTCTTTATTCAGATACATGAGAAGAAGATGATGTGAGACTCATCAATCTATAACACGAGTCAAAAACTTCTCACTACAATTTCTAAAAATTGGCTTTGTTTCAAAAAAAAATCTCAAGAACACAAAAAAAAAATACTTTTACGAAAACAGAACGTTGTAGTTTTTGTCATAATTTTTTTTGTAAAGTTCACAAATATTTCAAATGCAACTTTTAAGTTTTCGTTTGTTTATTTACTCGAAAACAAAAAATCATTATCAAAATTTTGATGTATCAAACATTTCTAGTTTTTCATAATATATTTCTTAAAAATAAAAACTCGCTAAACACAAATGGAACGAGAATTTTTTTCTTTACGTCTAGGATTAACAAAAAAAAAAACACTGAAATGTTTTAAAATGTGATTATTTTGGTTTTAAATATAAAGATAAAACGCAATGCAAACAAAAACTATGCCTAAATCAGATGAAAGACATTGACCTGAAACAAACTTAACCAGCCTAAGAGATCTCAGTTGCAACTTTATTTTGAAATATCAAAGTTGGCCTAAACTCAAAATTCTAAAACAAGGACCAAATTGCGCATGCTTAAATGGGCTGGTCTCAAAATGGACCGACTTGGTCAATCTCAATTCACAACCACCACACATAATCATATCACTAAACATATCAATGAGCTTCAAACTTAAAAAGATATAATAACCCATAACCACCATATATATTCGAATCTCAATCAGAGTTCTTACAAGATTCTTTCAGGTCTATTGAGTAAATACCAAAATACCAAAAAAAAGATTGTACATTGACCCCCAAAAAATATTCGAAATACTCAGGCTAATTTTTCCGGTATAGATAGTTTCTTGTGCCAAAAACATGGCTAGTTTCTGGGTCAGCCTTAAACAAAAGAAAGATAAAAGCAAAAGATCAGACCTGACCTTGATTAGTCCTGTACCCTAATGATTCCATATGATATGTTTCTTCCTCCATTGTACAACTGTACTGACTGCTACTAGCTTCATACCCACTAATCTTGATCCATTCCCACTTCTTCCTCTGGGACAGGGCTCTTCTCTTCTACAGCTTCACTTTTCTCATTGGCCTCTGCATTCTCTGAAGCGAATGCACAAGGAGTTGCAGCCGGGTCTAGTTCCAGACAACCTTCTGGTGCGTTATCAGCTTCTTTCCCTGTAAGAATGTAATGAGGCACCTGGTGGGAGAATCTAAGCATTTCTTCCTTTGCAATCTTCCTCACACCAAGTCTTTCTGTGCTTCTGCGGAAAACTGCCCTGAATCCTTCAGCTTTGAGTAAGAGAGCCACGGTTAAACTCTGATTGTCTTCTGTATAGTCATCAAGAACTTCCACCATCTCGTACTTGTGTTTAACTTCGTCAGGGGTATTCTTGTCCCACTCAGGGGACCAATTTCGATACAATGCCCAAACTTGTCCCTTTTTGGGAAGAATATGGAGGAGTCCTCTTGCACCTTTGGTAAATTCAACACTGTGAGAAAAGGCATTTAGTGTATCTGTAGATTCATATCTCCCACACCTAAATTCCCCACATGTTTTAGCAAAACCAGCACCCATCCAGTCTATAGGACCAAATTCACTGGTGCTTTTGGAATTGAGCCAGCTGATTTTCATCTTAAAGGGATTCACAGAAATCACCTTTTGGATGCGGGCGTAAAACCGAGGCATTCCATCGTCATCGTCATAAGCAGCCCAAATCTGGTCATCTTTAAAAGAACTTTCAGATCGGTCAAGATCAAAGTTGTGAAAGTCTGAATCTGGAACAACGATTTCCTTCACTACATCATCCATCTCTTCATCTGAATCACGAGGAGTTACCTCAAATGACCTTTCAACCTCAACTGACCTTTCAACCTCAACTGACCTTTCAACCTCATTCGCGGTGCTACTTATCTTGCTCCTTTCAACCTCATTCGCCTTGCTACTCATCTTGCTCGTTGCCTTCATACTGTTCTTCTCCCTTTCAGTTGCGTTCACCTTCCCTTCTGTTTCAGCAATCATCTTCGGAAGTCTCTTAAAAATCTCTGACTGGCCTCTGTCCATAAGAGCTTTTTTTATATCAGAACGTAACAATGCTTGTACATAAGGATGACGAGAGCCTATGGTGTTGGGCGATTCAGTATTTTCATTGGCAGCATTAGAAGTACTGGACCTGCTAGCACCTATGTGATTCGACGACTTGCCTGCAGATGGACCACGCATATGGGAATCATCAGTCTTCTGCCTCTTAAAATTCCCCAGATCAGAGTTTGTAAATCCTCTAGCCGCATCCCTTTCTTGCGTCTCCCCAAACCCTCTTTTCAGTTTATCTTGTGCTTGCTGAACTACATTTGCCGCTTCATTTGTGGCATTTCGGCTGTTAGAACCACCCATTCTTGATGAAGAATCCCACTGAAAATTCAGGTTAACAGATGGTGCAGGCTCTCTCCTAGAAGAAGAACCATTTGAGTTCTTGTTTGACGCTTGATTTTTGGAACTCCGGTGCTGTTGGCTAGATGAGATGTTGACTGGCGGCTTAGGAATATTTTTAGGCGGAGTTTTCTCTTCTGCAACGAAACCTTGATGGCAGTGTGGACAAAGCAAGGTTTGGTTAAGATAAACCCTCTGGTATTCATATTGTGTGTTGCATTTGTTGCACTTGGTCCAAAAGGTACTATTCTCCTCATGCATCGGAGAAACAAAAGCAGGTGAACCCATGCGAGATCTATCCATATGGGCAGCAGGCTTACGGGCAGCGGGCTTAGATCTAGCCCTAGCACTCAAAACTACATGCTCTCTTACATTTGGAATCCCGTTAGAAGTTGGCTGGTGTGGTGGAATCCCGCTCTGTGTTGGTGGGAATCTTTGTTGAGCTTCTTTGACATCTTTGCCCCTCTTTAAGTTATATAAGATTCTATTATCCTTGTCAGATAGTAGATTCCAAGCTTCTGCAACCAGCTTAAACGCACCTTCAGCGCCTTTACACTTGTTTTTATCCGGATGGAGCATGAGAACCAATTTCCGGTATTGTTTTTTCAGTGCTTCATCACTAACAAAGGGGTCTACACCAAGGACACCATACCAATCAGCTTCTCCGCAGAATTTTTTCTCTCCCGAGATAAAAACATTGATTGCCGTCAACAATTGATTTAGACCATCCAACTCGGGAAACAAGTTTTGAGCCTTGTTAGCGAACTTTTTCGCCCCATCGTAGTCCTTCTCTGTCATCTTCCTCTCAGCAATATCCATTGCCCTTTTCGCTTCATCCTTGTTGCATTCCATGTCCTCGAGAGTTACTCCGTCAAAAACTATTGTCCTCTGGAAACTTTTTAGAATAGAGGATCTTCAACAGACTCCCAGAACGTTCCCAACCTGTCTCAATGGAAAATCAAAGAAGCAAAAAAAAAAGATTAGATTCAGTGGAATGTTTACAGAAGCATATCATGTTTAGGTGACCCTAATATTAAAGAGAACAGATTCAGTAGAATCTGATGATTTTAAAGGAGTACACACATGTTCCTAGAAATGTAGATTTGTTTCCACATGAAGGTTTAACTAGCTACAAGGTCCCAAAATTTGATATAGATGCAGATCTAATCCAACTGGGTAAAACAATAAATGCAATACATTAGCTCAAGAAATTCAATCTTATCCGGTGGCACTGGTCTCAACCGGTAGAAGAACCCCGGATTTTACTAAACAAACCCGGTTCGACCCTCCCACCGACATTACATTTAAAAACACAAAAAGAGAACCAATCTTTGGCCACATATTATGAAATTACCATATCTAATCCACATAAAACACAAACAAAATTGCCCGCGAACCCGTTGAATACAAATTTGCGCGCGAATCCGCTCAATAAAAATTTCCATGGCAATCCGCTGAATATAATAGAGATACATAACATAAGGCTCATAAAAGAAAGATCTTGAGAATCTATCAATCTAATGCAATCCAGATTTAAATGAAGCCCCTCAAAATCTAACAACAATTGAACACTGATGAAGAACAAAAACCAATCAAAGCAACAAAAACTCAACTATGATCACAGATCTTCAAACTCTATCTAACAAGAGATAAACCTAACCTAAACAAGAATTCACCAAACCCACAAAATTCCCAACACCATTTGCATTTCCTAAACACTACGAACCCAAAAAAACCCTAATCCACATATCATTCAATGCAATCAATCAAACCAGAACGAGACCCGCGAAAATTCGAAACCAGTTCAAAAACATTTCAAACGGATCTACACACAAACTGTACTAATTCGACTACCCTAAAATCAAACCCAAATTTCGCCATCACAGAGACTCCAAAAGTGTGATACAAACCCAAAAAACCCTAATCGATCACTGCAATTTCAAAGCCCTAAAACCAATTTTGTCTAATATAAAGCGATAAAGCGAGAAAGCGAAAGGGTACACCAAAGTAAACAGAGAAGAAGAAGAAACCATGAAAACATACCAATCGTTGGATCGCAACTCCGAGGATAAGAATATTTTTTGAATCAAACAAACTTTTACTACAAAAGACTTAATTTTTTTGCAGATACACCCTCACAAACCCTACTCTTTGATTTTTTTTTTCTTTTTTTTTTTCTCTCTTAAGAACACCTCAAAATATATAATGTGAGAAAAACAATGTATGGGGTGTGAAATTTATTAAGTTGTTCAAAGTAAAAAATTAATTCACTATCCAAAATTTACTAGTCATGGTTAAGTTAACCATGGTTAAGTTTTGACTTAGGGTAAGAGTGGTAAAAACTCGAAAATATATTATTTTCTTCTTAATCTGTAGTCTACAACTTACACATGCATGTTTTTAAATTTATTAGATTTGGACTAGATACTTATTATTAGGTTATAAATTAAATAGATACAATGTATATGAGTACTAGTTACCATTTTCGAATTCAAAAGTAAAATCTTACTTTATTATACCATTTTTACCCATAATTACTTAACTGTGGTTATTTGACCATGGTTACTCAACCGTGGTTATTTAACCATGGTCGTTTAACTGTAGTTACTTTATCATTATTATTTAATTGTGATTGCTTAATCATGGTTAAGTTTTGACCTTGATTAAGCATTTTAAATTGTAAGGTATGAAAAATATTTTCTTTCTCTTTCTGTCGTTTACAGCTCACACATGCATATTTCCAGAATAAATCCGGAATATAATGTTGACTCATTAATAGTTCAGTACTTAGTGGTTAGTACTAGACTACTAGGTTACAAATTTGTTATGCATGAAAAAGATTTTGTCAAATAAGTTATCACTTCAGCCATTTGATAAATTTTCTTGAGTACACAACTAAAATTTGTTGGCGACCATTTCATATCTTTTAATTAGATAAGGGATGTGCAAAGATATGTTAGAAGAAGGCAATATCACTTGGGTTATGTGCGAAGGAGTTAGTTTTTCAATTAACCACTAACTTCTTGTGGTGACGACATTCGTAATACTTAAGATCTACTAACAAGGTAGAGAAGAACGAGGAAAGCTAAGAGATAGGGAGGAATTACAAAAACAAAGTTTATTGGAATGGAAGGTGTTTTAAATAAAAGATAGAAAGAAGTGGGAGAAACAGTGAACAAATGTGTAGTTTTTGGTGTGAGTAGCACCAACAAAACAAAATAGAGTAAAATGAATAGACAAAAATCGAGGACATTCGTCGTCGTCCTCATGGCAGGCATAGGCATGTGCATGAATGCAACACAAAACCAAAAACACAAATCCTCACACGTTACAGGTAGCCACAAACCACACAACTACTAAGCAAATTTATATTCATCTGTTTCCACATGGCTACAGCAATATGGACACCTTTCCCTGGCTGCTACCTTACTCACCTGCTTTCTCACCCTTGGTCTCTGGTTCGGTTTCCGGTTTTGGATCGGGTATAGCATCAGGATTGGATTCCACTTCAGCTTTGGGGCTTGATTCAGTTTCCATTTCAGTATTGAGGTTTGACTCGGGTTCCACTTCAGCTGTGGGGTTCAGTTCAGGTTCCGCTTCAGCCATGGCATTTGGTTCGATTTTAGGAGATTCGGTCTTATCATGACGGAATTTAACAACAATGCACGTGATGTTGTCTGCACTGCCACGAGCGAAGGCAGTGTCAGTTAACTTGCGGGCAGCTGCCTCGGGCTCCTCCTCGCTCTGAGCAAGGGTTACTGCATCCTGAATCCGATGAAGGAAATCAAACATTTAAATCCCGCAACAATTCAGAAATAGATACAAGGGGGTGAATTTATTTGTCATACCTCATTGGGTACCACATCCCATAAACCGTCACTTGCAAGTACAAGCAACTCAGCCTCATGATCTATCTCTAGATCCTGAAAAATAAGCACAGGAGTGTGTTCACAAAACCTTAAAACTCAAGATTTCACATAGGTTATACTATGGATGATGGGAACAACATAAAACCCTTGGGCAAAAAAACAGTAAGCTGCAGTTAGAAGCGGTTACTTGTATCTCGGGTTCAGCAACAACGAATTGCTTCAGCATTCTGTTACCAAAGGCCCGGGACATTGCCAACACCCCACCTACTCTCCATGTTCCTGACAAGTGAAAATCAAGATGATATTATTATTAAGTCTAGGGCTGACAGAAAAATTCAGAGAAGGATGCTCTATGGGCATGCCTCAGGAAATCTAGTGAATAACCCGACAAATAGCGTGCATATATAAGATGGTTTGTGTGTCTGTTCCCTAGAAACTTAAAAATAGAATTAGACTAAAAAAGCAGAAACAAAAAAACCAACAACAACATTGTAACATTAAAATTCGCGAAGGAAATATCAAGCAGTTTGAGTAAATCAATTAATGAAGCTAGTGATCTAACTCAGGAGGGAGATCTCTGCGATCTCGCTATGTCATCTTTAGAAGCAAGCAACCAATTAGGAGGACACAAACGAGGGCCAATTTCTTAAATCAGATTACCTGCCCACATGATAACACCACCAGCGCTTTCAATTCGCTTTCTTTCATCGCTTCTATTTGGCTTATGGTCATCAGATAGCGCGATCGCTGCAGAACATAAAACAGTAAGTTTGAAAAGGGTCCTCATGGAAAGAATATAACAAAAGTTTGTGACCAATCATAAGAATCCATTCACTATAAACTAATGTCGAATGTTCTCTAAGGATAGCATAATGTCATTTCCTAAACTCATTTTTGATTGTAGCTCTCGATTTATCTTTAAATGATATGCCACATTGTGTTAGTTCACAACGAAATACTGACCTTTCCCAGCTTTGGAAACTATTGTCCTCGAGTCTCCAACATTTGCAACATATAAATGGTTCCCCACCAACACAGCAGCAGATGCTGTGGAGCCATCATCTCTGTAAGTATCCTTTTCTGACTCGAGGAATGCTACATCAGTTTGTTTATATGTTTCATCTGCCAAATTAATCAGATTAGAAGGTGAACAGATGACTTGTATCAAGCTATATGAGCTCATACTTCTTAGCTTATAACATGATCTTATGTCAAGAGATATAGAGCGCACTTAATGCCAGCTTGGTGTCTGTCAAAAATTGTGGATGCTTCATAAGATTGTTAAAGAGGTGTTCCTTCAAGTACTCAGCAGCACGTGAACCACCATGACCTGTGATGATTAAAGCTTCAGATATTAAAAACTAGATATCAAGTTAACAACTTATGATTCTGCTTCTGAGTATTATATGAACGCATATTGATAGTTCAACTGTGCACTGCAGCCTTTAATTTCCTAAATAAGTGTATGTACAAATACGGACTCTAACTAAGGTAATTCTAGATCTTTCTTAAAAGTAGTAGACATAGTCACATAGCATAAATAGTGACCAAATTTGCAGAACAAACAACTTCAATCTGCAAATAAAGCTGGACTGTGTTTTTAGCTCAGCCATGTCTAAGTTGAGATAGATACAATGATAATAAGGAAAGTTGAAAACCAGACTTCAACACAGATAAAATATCTTCCCCAAACCAACACTAACACTACCTTTTCGTCTATACCAAAATAAAAGGAAGGAAACCTAACCATCAAATATTCCAAACATGCAAACTGTTTGGCCTTCAATTGTGGAAGCTTTGACATCATAGAAATCTTCCATCGTAGATCTTTTCCCTCTGAAACTACAGTACCCACAGCTCAAGCTTCCATCGTCACTGTCATTGCACGTAACAAATATATTAAGGACCACTTAAAAACAAAAGAAAAAAGTAGAAAACAAAACTTTCACATTGATCCATAGCCATAAACAAATAGAGATTGCCTACATAACAATATAAAACTTCAACGTATAGTGGAACTTAGTTTCTTCCATTACATAATCATCAGTATAGCAAAATAACTTGCTTGCATTTCACACTTAAAGTGGAGTATAGCCGACCATGAATTGATATCTTCAGTACAAGTCATATTTCAGTAGCCCCTATATATAACCGAGAAACAACTCACTTTTTCCAACCACCACCGATGTATCCACCATCATCAACTTTCTCAGGCGGCATATCAACTAAGGATATACGTTTCTCTCCGGCAGAAGTATCAGCCATCATCTTCGCACTAGTTCTAAATCCAACTCCACAGGTTCTTCTAAATCCAATCACACTAGTTCTAAATCCAAAACCAACACTGAAAGTCTTCTTAATATGATTAAACTGATGTCTTCCTTGAGCCAACACCCCAATATGACCACCAGCTTGAAGAATGAAACTCCTTATGAAACTGCTGCATACCATCTAACTAGCCAAATCTTAACTTAATTCAGTTTCTCCAATACAGGAGCTGCATATAGAAAAATCAATCTGTCATTAGTAACACAGATCATGGATCCTTAAACACCAATTAAGATAACAAACCCTATCTATACTTAAAAAAAAGAAAACTGATTTCAACCTCTCATACTTCAATTAAACTAGATCCTGAATTCAACAAGCGAATGATGAACAATAACGAACACGATCCAGAATCTGTACTTCCTATAAACAATTTTCGATTCGGATAACGAAAACGGGATTCAAATCAGAAGTAGAGAGAAACTAACAAGGTATGTTCTGGAATCAAACTCGAAGAGGGAAAAGAATCCAAATCAAATCAAGGATCTGTGGCGGAAACGGAATCCTAGTATATTTTTTTCTGACGAAAAGAAACGAATCGGATCGGAAAAGACGCGGTGGTTATCTATCTGACGACGGATCCGAATCTGAGAGAGAGAAAGAGTTGAAGAACAAATTGGCTGAAGGAATCAGCTTTTTGGAGCTTCCATGGAATCTGAGAGAATCCAAGAGAGATGGAGAGAGAGAGTGGTGGTGAGTAGAGTAGAGAGAGAGAGAGAAGGAGGACACCGAACAGAAGCGGCAACGTGGCACTACTCATGCATCCCTGTTTTATATACTCCAGTAGGGTTTTTTTTTTTAATTATTCTTTTTTTCAATTGGATTACCTCCCTTTATTCCAACTAATCAACTTTTTTTTAATTGCTAAAAATTAGCTACTTTCATGTATTATAAACGTAATTAAAAGCCAATCCAATAAATCTGTTGACAAAAAAAAAATGTAATTAAAAAAATTATACTCTTATGCACTCGGAAAGTTATACTACTACAATCGTAGCTGGCTTATTCATTCCTTATCCTCTATGATTATGACTATCATGTAATTAAGGTTTTGATTGGTTATGTTGTATCGATGTGGTATAAAATCATGGGTATTGTAGCCCCAAGAGATCAGATCACAAGAGAAACACAAAATTTGTCAATTAATGGTCACAAAAAGAAAACCAAGAATGAACACAAAGACGATTATTGATTGAAACAATAGAATCATTGTGAATTTGTTGTGATCATAATTAAGTAATATTATTCTCAATGACAAAACTCACTGCTAAAATTGATACACATTCTATCTTTCTTTTTTTAACAACTATTGATACACATTCTTTTCATTTTGTAAATTACTCATCCCATAGAGTTTTACTTTTACGTTTTATTATAACTAAGGATTAGGTTTCGTTTGTGAGATCAATTCAAATTAGAGAGTACTTTGGAAGTTTCTATCGTGTTACCAAGGAGAAGAGAACGTATTTCTCCATAGGAGTTTTTCTTGTTACGCTATTGTTTCTTTTGAGTTTTCATAAAGAGAGTTTTCAGTCCAAATTAACACCCCTAAGAAACCCGTGACCGTGAGCATCATATTCAATCATGCGTACTGATTTATGCAAGAATAAGCTCATTAGTACATTGTTCCACTAAAATAAATTGGTTAAAAATTTGTCACCTGGGAAGAAGCAAAATAGAGGGCCGTGTTATTTAGGTCACAAAAATTCCACAACTTGTCTTATACCCTAAAGGCTTCCGGTATTTGTCGAAGAAGACCATCTAATCTAGTTTGTAGACAACACTATTTATCTTGCTAACAAATCCGAAGAAGAGGAAGATACTCCGATTACAAATGTCTTTTTCTTGTGATAATTTTACAGATGGGACGATGGTTGACGTTGACTCATATCGTCCATATTCAAAGGTCTTGATAGTTTGAATTCGATGTTATTACTATTTTGTTAGTATAATCAATTAAAGAAAGTGTTGACTTTGTTTTCAGAAATATGGATTACAAAGTTGTCTAGTTTGATTAACAATTATAAAATCTTGAGACTGGTCTCCAAATCCGACGGCTAGGAACCTCCCTTGGCCTTCATAAGACAAACGTACGAGAAGGGACACGATACGGTCAACGGTCTCTATTCGCACTAAATTATCATCAGTATCAACTGAGTATATAATACACGTTCAAATTTAATTTTAAACTTAACGGACTAAATTTGTGGAGCACAAAATTTGGTAAAAAGGAGAAGAAAAAGAGGAAGAGGACACGTGGGTTGGTTCGTGGTTGATCGACAAATACTCACGGGCTATATCTTTAATTTATCATCCTCTTATTCTTAACAAAAGAAAATTTGGGGGTAAATTAAATAAAATTTTAATCATAGTCATGGTTTTAGTAGCTACAAAAACAAATGTGATTTTATTTTTCGTTTGCATTTGCAAGTTTGAAATTCGATCAAAAACAACGTTTTTGTTTGGTGCTGAGGAAAAAAAATGAAGAGATGATGTTTCACCAATATGAGAAAAGAAAACATGTCATGAAGAAGTTAAAGAATAAAGATGTTAGGACTATATGTTTGAAAATACTAACTAACTCAAAATGTTTAAAAAAGACTTATATTTTTTTTCCCCAAATTATGTCCACTCCTTCTATAATCTAAATCATTCGTGATTTAACATAAAACTAAATTTAAGTTCTGACTGTAAACTTTATTCAAATCTATGAAATCGATTTGCCATGTACACGATTTAAAAAAAGATACAAGTTGGAATGAAACTGTGCATTGAAATATACGAACAAAAAGCCTGGTTTTACTAAATTTGACAGTATCTTATCAACACGAAACTTCGACGTACAAGGACAAAAATTGAACCTACAAAAATAGAGACCAATAGTCAGTTATAGAATTTATGTTTGCGACGAAAATGATACATCATTTGAAGTTTTACATGCCTAACATTCATACTAATTAATGACTTCGACTATATTTCAGTAAAAACGGAAATGTCTTGATTAACTCCGTAATTACATTTCTTTCTTTGTCAACAAATTCGAAGGTTAAATTCTTAGGTTGATTTGATACCATAACCAAACAACATATATACGGAAAGTAGAAAAAAAAAAAGAATTTAAACGAATTAATTAGAAAATATTAATAATTATATATATGCTATAAAGTTTTTATAGGAATCTTTGCTAAATGGCAAGAATAGTAATTTTAAATATACTTGATGAAAAAAGTAATTTTAATTAAAATAGTAAATGAAAATTTGATAAAGGGAGGTTTTCCAAAGAATATTTTTATTACATGATTGACAAAGATATTTCGTGCAACATCTATTGATGTGTGAGGATCAGGATATGTATATCATTAATTTATTTTTAAAAACTACATATATTATTGCTGTGTGAGCCTGTGAATTCTGTAATCTTCCAACATATTCGTCTACTAAAAAACTGACAACTCAATCCAAAACATATTTTTCTACTAAAATTAAGGTTAAGTTAAAAGTTTAAAACTCAATTTAAAAATGATTTCTTACTAATACTCAAAAGTTAAATTTGGTCCCAAAATCTTTTTAAAGTATCAAGGACTTGCAAAGGTACAAGTGTCTTTTGGAATAACTTAAAAAATGAACAAAAACAGTGTAAACAAAATTAAGAAAATCACAGAGTAAGCAAAAAAAAATAAAAAAATACTAGCAAAGTTTGTGACTTTCGTGGAAACTCCTTGCGTCCTCTCTGTATTCTGATAAAGGCTTCGCTTTCATCATTCAATATCTTCTTCTTCAAATCTTTCTTCATCACTCTCTCTCTCTCTCTCTCTCTTTCTCCAATTTCTTCGTTTTAACATCTTCCTCTCTTCTTTTGTTTCTGGGTCACTTTAGTTTTTCTTCTTTTCTCGCTCTTTCCGAGGAAAAACAAAACAAAGATTTGCTTCTTTTTTTTTTTTTTTTTTGGTGGGTTTAAACAGACTTTTTTTCTTTTATTGGTTCTTCTTCTTCTTCCCCAAAGTCTCTACGTTTCTACAGGATTCTCGGAAGCAAACACACTTGTCTATGTTCGGTTTGATTTCTACTTTAAAAAAGTTTCTTCCTTTTTTTTTCCTTTCTAGTCGAATTGCGTTTTTGACACTGGAAAGTTTTGAAATTTGAGTTTGGTTTTTGCTGAAATCGAAAGTGTTGAATTGAATTGAAGTTTATGGAATCAGGGTTTTGAATTTCCCTGAAATTGGCGAAGAAGAAACACGAAGTTGTTGTTCTTCATGAAGCGGTGAAATCTCTGTTTGTTTGAATCTTATTAGTCTCAAAACTATGAATTTCCGACAAGAGAAGTTTGTAAGGTCAGTGTTCCAAACTTTCTCCAGATTTGTCTCATTGAAAGTGTAGGTCTTGGAGCTTAATTCGATTGTTCTTCACTTTCTTGGATCAGGTTTCAAGATTGGAAGTCCGACAAGACTTCCTCGGACGTGGAATATACCGGGAGAAATGAGATTCAGACTGGAATATTCCGGAGAACAATAAGCTCAATCTCCGACAAGTTTTACAGAAGCTTTGAATCAAGCTCTGCAAGGATCAAACTTTTCAAAAGATCTTACAAGTCTTACTCTTTTAAAGAAGCTGTTTCAAAAGGGATTGGTTCAACTCACAAGATTCTTGACCCACAAGGACCTTTTCTTCAGAGATGGAACAAGATCTTTGTTTTAGCTTGTATCATCGCTGTCTCGCTTGACCCCTTGTTCTTCTACGTGCCTATCATTGATGATACCAAGAAATGTCTTGGTATTGACAAGAAAATGGAGATAACTGCAAGCGTTTTGCGCTCTTTCACTGATGTTTTTTACATCATTCACATCATTTTCCAGTTTCGTACTGGCTTTATCGCTCCTTCGTCTCGAGTTTTTGGGAGAGGTGTTCTTGTCGAGGACAAGCAACAGATTGCAAAACGTTACTTGTCCTCGCATTTCATAATTGACATTCTTGCTGTTCTTCCGCTTCCACAGGTGATTCATTGATTGGTTTTGTTTGCATTTCCAAATCCATTAGGTTGATTCTTTGAGTAATGTGAGTAATTGTGTTTTCTCAGATGGTGATTTTGATTGTCATTCCACATATGAGAGGCTCACCGTCTTTGAACACGAAGAATATGTTGAAATTTATTGTTTTCTTCCAATATATACCGAGGTTTATAAGAATCTATCCGCTCTACAAGGAAGTGACAAGAACTTCAGGCATACTCACTGAGACAGCTTGGGCTGGAGCTGCTTTCAATCTCTTCCTCTACATGCTTGCTAGTCATGTGAGTGCCAAATTGGTTCTAACCGTCCCAACTGTTTTAGGTTCAGAGCTTAAATATATAATATTTTTAGTCAAAACCGGTAAATGTGTAGGTGTTTGGTGCTTTCTGGTATTTGTTCTCAATCGAACGCGAAACAGTGTGTTGGAAACAAGCTTGCGAGAAGACAAACTCAAGCTGCATTCCGAGTTTGTTGTACTGTGACCGTGAAATTCCAGGAGGCAATGCTTTCCTCAATGAGTCTTGTCCGATTCAGACACCAAACACAACACTTTTCGACTTTGGGATATTCCTTGACGCACTTCAGTCCGGTGTAGTGGAATCTCAAGATTTCCCTCAGAAGTTCTTTTACTGTTTCTGGTGGGGTCTGCAAAACCTCAGGTATTGAGATTATAGATATATAAATAGCAGCAAATTTAGGCCATTTATAATGCAGAAAGTTCTTCATTGTTCTGTTTTTCTTGATCCAGTTCGCTCGGTCAAAACCTTAAAACAAGTACATATGTTTGGGAGATCTGTTTTGCGGTCTTCATTTCTAT